GGGCCTACTCTAGGTGATAGCAACAGGATTTCCACCATTGTTTCAGACATTTCCAAAACTGCATCATCATAAGAGTCTTAATACTGTATTACTAAAATCCGTCATGCTGCCTTGGGGATTCTGGAATTCATCATCCATTTTTCCCCCCAAGTTCTATCAGTGACTAACATAAGACAGAAAGTTATACAGGAAACAGTCACTAGAGTGGCCATTGGATCTGCCAGGTTCAAGCTACCTCTTTATTCCACTGGGAAGTGACAGCACTTGTAATTATTTTATTCAAATATGTCTTGAATGTTCATCATGACTATAAATTATTAGTTGTGGAAGGGAAAGTTTTTAGTATCCGTTCAGTCTCAGTCTGAAAGTTGAACTCAATTCCTTGGAGGGACAGCTTTCTTAATCCTGCTGCAATAAAAACAACAAAGAGTCATGTGGTATATTAATGACTATTCATAGACTGTTGCTTGCTTCACCAGATGCATATGCTATGGTGCATGGCACACCTTATGCCAATTTTAATTACATGTTCTGATACAGTAGTCATGCACCTGATAACATTAAGATTTCTGAAAAGATCAGCCTGTTTTAGGAATAACTATTGATCAAAAGATAGAAACACCTTCCTTCAGTTCTCATCCCATGACAATTTAAGCTCTCCTCATAAAATATTATTAATGTTACATTCACCTTAATATAACCTAAACTTTTAAGTTCTTATTCCTGACACATGGTGTTTCTTAACATGCATCTTTTGACATTATTTGGACATATGTTTTTTCACTGCTTATAAATCCAGTGGATTTAGTCTCATGGAACACAATAGTTAAAACAGGAACAAAAAGCCCAAACAGACAGAGAGGGCTCAGGTAATAGTTGGTATAATGTGGAGCTCTAGCGGTGACAAAGAAGAAAAGCAAGATGTGGAACAAATGCAGATTGTACACAGAAACTATCAAGGCTGAGAGTAGACCGGGAGAGCTTTGTTTATCAACTAGAGTTAATAATATATGTTTGTTCCAATACTAAATGTTAAGGCTTGAAATGAAAACAGTTACACATGCCTTAGTCTATTCAATGGATTTAATAAGCCTGATTCTGCATTATATTCAAACTCAAAGTGAACATAGTGGTTCTATAGATTCTGAAAATGCACCACTACAGGAAAGAAGAAGAAAAACAGGCATGCCCACTGATGCCTCAGTTTTATCTGAAGTATTTGCTCCATATACATTTTGGCCGAAACCTGATAAAATGTTTGTGTGCTCTGGCTAAGAAAAGCAACATTTTTATCCAGATAATATAGTGCTTCTTCAGATACTATTATTGCTTTGGACAATCTACTCTGCCTTCATGTACATATATGAGTGTGCCTTAGTTAAACGTTGCTTATTTGAAGCATAAGATAGGCACTGTCATGGACCTTTGTTTTAGACAAATAAAAGTTTTATACAAGTTATAAGTTTATGTCTAAGATCAGCATGTCTAAACAGCATGTCTAAGGTCAACTGGACACACAGAAAAGATCAACTCACTTGCTGTTTCTTTTCTTTTCTTTTATTGTTCTAAAAGACTAACTTGGATACTAAAATATCTCTCTTTAGCTTGTATGTTATGTACCATCAAGTCACATCTGACTCATGCTGACTCTGACAGGTTCAAAACTAAGAAGTAGTTTTACTATTACTATAATTGGCTGGAAAGCTCAGTGAGTTCATCATCTTGATAAGGAGTGTGATTCCCCATTCTGTCTCTTGGAAGAACAACCAGAATATGTGGCCTTGAGATAGCTACATGGTCTCAGAACTCGCCAAGAAAAACCACTTCTGAATACTGTATACCTAGGAAATGCCAGAAAAGGTCTCCATAGATCAGAATCAACTTGATAAACTTGATAGCATGTTACCATTACTATCCTCCACTGAGTTTCCATGGCCAAGCAGGCATTTGAACCCAAGTCTCTTGCATCTTGGTCCATCTCTGAATATCAAAAATGGTAAACATGATGATGAAGAGCTTAAATTTTGATATGGATCATTGTGGTAAAGGCTAATTCAGACATATTTTCAATACAGCCAAAGATACTTGATCTGAGGATTTAAAGAATAAATTGGAGAAACACATGGTTGTAAATATGTTCAACATTGTATTCATAAATTTTGATATGGATCATTGTGGTAAAGACTAATTCAGACATATTTTCAATATAGCCCAAGATACTTGATCTGAGGATTTAAAGAACAAATTGGAGAAACACATGATTGTAAATATGTTCAACATGTATTCTGCAGGTAATCACAACTCAATTGTGGATTTCTGTTGATAGTACACTTGGATGCCAATATGATTTTCCTTTGGATAATGCATGAAATTGTGGACAGTTCTAAGGCTCAGTCATCCACTTCACATGCGTTCATGTTATTCATATAAATAAGCCATCACATGATTGCTGGGGTGTGGGGCTGTACTCCACATTACAACTTTAGGTTCATGGCATGTTCTCACTGCCTGACAGTGTTTCCCTGAAAATAAAGACAGGGTCTTATATTTATTTTTCTCCAAGAATGCATTAGGGCTTATTTTCAGGGGATGTTTTCTTTTCTTCTTTTTTTTTCATATACAACAGGCTACATTTATTCAAATACAGTCCTGTCATCTTCTGGTTGCTGCACAATGGTGGAGGGCGAGGGTTTCACTTAACTAGGGCTTATTTTGGGGGTAGGGCTTATATTATGAGCATCCTGAAAAATCATACTAGGGCTTATTTTCAGGTTAGGTCTTATTTTCAGGAAAACAGGGTATTAGCAAGGCCATAATGAAGACATCAAGGCACAAACAGTCACTCACACGTGGATCTCTGCATGACAAATGTATTCAACACCTGTTTCAGAAATGTCTTCCTATTCTGCAGGAATCACACAGACCAGTAGTTCCTAACTTTGGGCAGCAAAAAGCAAAGCAAAGCGTGCTGCTTATATACCACCCCATAGTGCTTCAAACACTCTCTGGGCAGTTTACAAGTTAATTATGCAGGCTACACATTGCCCCATCCTCCAGCAAGCTGGGTACTCATTTTACCAACCCCGGAAGGATAGAAGGCTGAGTCAACCTTGAGCCGGCTACCTGGGAATTGAACCCCAGGGTGTGAGCACAGTTTTGGCTGCAGTACAGCAGTTTAACCACTGCGCCATGAGGCTCTGTGCAGCCTAGGTGTTCTCGGACTGCAGTTCCCAAAAACCCAAGCCAGCACAGGTGGTAGTGAAAGCTTCTGAGAACTGCAGTCCAAGAACACCTGGGTTACCCAAGATTGGGAACCACTGATGTAAACAATATATGAATGGCGGATTAAAGTGTCAAGCACTTTAATGTACAAGTTGCCAGGGTCAAAGTCCTTGTTTCATGTAACTAGCAAATAAACAAACAATTTCTCTGAACTTTAAAAGGTTAAATACTCATCATTATTCCATACCCTTTAAATTTATATAATTTTGGTTAAGTGGTACACCATATTCTGTGGGTGCTCTGATTTCAAGTAGCCTGGGGGAAAAGATTGACCATTAACTTCTAAACACACCCAAATAAATGTTGCAGGGATAAGAAACACATGCCAAAACTGCACAAGACCCTCCACAAAAAGATATACAAGAGGGAAATCATAACCTTGCACAAATCATTGATACCAGAATCCAACATTTAAAGAGTAGCTTGCAAAGAATTTCCAGTGAAGTTAATGGATTTCAGTACTGTTCTCATATTCTGAGTAATAATATACAACATGAGACATGCAGTCACTTGGTCAAATATCCCTTTATAATGATGGAGGAAACAGTAACCCAAACGTTTATGTATTCTTCGACACAAAATGAAACCAAGTACTAAAATTGTTTTTGGATCTGGTTTTTTAGCTGTCTGATGTACTTAACATATTGCTCTTTTTAGAGGCACCAAACTGCTGCTGAGAACAGCTACAAATGAAATCTTACATAATGTTAGAATATGTGCTCTTCTGGGTAAATGCGAACATCTCTGAAATGCTTGTATTATTATGTTTTTTTTTTATTTATCCAGTACTTCAGTCATAATTACATTTACTTAGATGTATACTTTATCTATCAGGATGCCCCCTACTTTTAAAAGATGTGGATCGGCAGTGCAAGACTACTTATGTTTACTTGGAAGTAAATCCTGTTGAATTCAATGGGCTTTTCCTGTAGGTAAGTGTAGATAATGTGTTTTTACTAGATGTACACCCCAATACCATTTACTACCAAACAACTACAGTATAGATAGGTTTTTTGATTGCAAACCTACACATGTCTACACAGAAGAAAACACCAGTGAATTAAAAGGTACACAAGCGTAGGTAAGTGGGTACAGGGTTCCATTCTCACCCTGCAACCTGAAACCGAATCTTACTGAATTCCTTGTATTTAAATTTTTATCAGAATGTTTAGGATCATGTTGCTCAGATTGAGAAAAAAATTAAGGCCAAGACCTTAACAGGTCCCACTGATTTAAGTAAAATTGTCTTTCTTATAGTAAAGCTAAGCTGCTATTCAATATTAATAAGGTGTTTCTATAAAATTCTACTCTGAGGAAGTCCAACGGATTTCAAGGAAGTATACTTCCAAGTAAACTACCAGTACTGCACTGTAATCAGTAACTTCCCTGCAGTCAATCCCTACATCCAAAAGACAGAAGGTAACTTTCAAACATTTATTTTCACAGCCTTCTTTGTCATGATCAAATTATCAAAAAAGGCATTTCAATGTTAAGTTTAGTATGTGCCATTATTTGCAAGATTAGAGTGGTTATTACTGCCTCTACAACTCGCTGAATTCCACAACGAGCATGGCTACTGCTTGGAATTCTGGGACCTGTAGTCCAAAAGAAGACAGTATTTCCTACACTGGACTCTGTTGAGCACAGGTTGAAAGTCACTAGGTAAAAAACTGCGCTGTCTGAATGCATGCAAGTGTTTCCAACCTCTTCCCATTTACCTGGTGGGCAGTTGCATTCTGGAGGAGCTTCTCTCGCAATCCTGACTTTTGCCATATGCTCATAAGACTTCTGTAAGGAAGAACAGAAAATGGTTGAAAATGTGGTAGACCATGTGTTAGTCCTAGCAGCAAACTATGAATAAGAGAGCTGATGTAAAATCTATTTGCATATGTAGTATGATTTACAGCTATTTCATAGCCAACTAAGCCAACAATGGCTTCCCACACTTGATGTTCAGTCAACTCAGATCATTTGCTCCCTTCAACAAGAAACCTTGGCTTAAAAATTATCTTTCTCAAATGCATGTGTGCGCCTGCACACACATGCGCACAGAGTCTTCCATTTGCATCACCCTTGCACCAATGTGTTGTCTTGTTATGTGAAAATGTTGTTTTCACCCATATTTTCCCCACAGCATTTGTAAAGCCCAAAATAAATGCAGCAAACTTGGTTTTGAGAAGGATGAATATCAGCAAATTAGAGATGGGAGAACAATGAATATTTTATATATGAAGGTCAAATGCTACCACATTAGAGGCCAAACTGCTGCCAATTGAATTTTACAGGCTGCCTGCCAAGTGGTCCCTGGGGACCAATCCTGGCAACCCATTGAAACTTGGATCTACACTTTACAGCCACATGTCTGCATGGGCTTCTTGTTGAGAGCCTCAAGCATGGAACATTTTTATCTTCCAAAGGATCTCACTTAAAACATTTAAGAGTCTCAGTGCTAACCATGAAATAAAGGGGGGGGATTCTTATGACTCAGTGGGAACAGCCTCATTTTGAAATATACATGAAGCAGTGCTAATTTTGTTGCCTGTGTCTTTTTTCTCTCCAAGTCATCTCTGATTTTATAAAGCTGTTCCTGTATTCCTGCCCTTGGAATAACACAGAAACTCCTTTCTGCCTTTAATTCATAGCACTCCAAAACCCTTCTGGTTCAAGCTCACCCAGATAGCACACTGTTTGGCTTGTTACTTTCTCCCCTTCTAGTCTATGCATATACTGTGGACATTAATGTGAAGAGAGCACATTGCACATGTTCAGAGGCACTCTTCGTTGCTATTTTAGGACCATAAAACAGCAGAATCATGAAGAAATTGTCTCTTGGGTATTAAAAAGAGATTAAAGGGCCAAGCTGTGGTGAGCTGGTCCCACATTATGTCCCTATCAGCAAAAATTAATCATATACAGTACATTAAGAAAGACACACCATACATGCTCAGATGCACTCTTTATCGTCACTGCTACTCTGTAAAGTCACATGAATAATGGAGAGGCTGCATCTGGCAGAGACTGAAAGGTTAAACCATGGGAGCCTTGCCCCCAAATCACCTCCCCATCAGATAAAATTAGTTCTAACTTAGTTGGTGCCAAATCCACCATTACTGCTCTCTAGAGAAGACACACTGGAACAAAATGGTACTTGAAGTCAGTTGTGACTGAAGTCCCAGTCATCTCAAGGCTTCTACTCCAAACATGACAAACTCCAGATTTAGCGTTTAGTCCTCTCACTTCTTCATTCCAGCACATCCAAACACAAACATTTCACTGTTTCACTCTCCCTCCCCACTCTCTCCCGAATATTTACCCAGTTCCTTTCTCCCTCTCCTTGGCTCTCCCTCTTTCTGCCACAGGCACATAAAACAACCTATACTTTTTGTTTGTTGTCTCTGGCTTACATCTAGGAGGCACAAACGCACCCCTGGTCAATCAACTCTCCACAAACACACACGGTCTCGAGCCAGCAAGCCCGCTAAGGGCATTCCTTCCTGGGATGCCCTCGTTTCTACCCCGAGTTTCCAAGGGCGACCACACCTGAGCCAGAAGTCGCTCCACTTTTTCCTGCACCAGGGAATTCAGCTGATCCATAGAAGAGCCGGGCAGCGGCTGGTAGGCGGCGGCGGCGGCAGAAGAAGACAGGTCTCCTTGGGCGGCCTCGATGAGGAAGACCCTGGTCTGAAGGTCGCTGATCTTCATCCCCAGATACATACAGGAAGCCACGGACAGCACCGAGAGGAGGAAAGCGGCCAGCAGAGCCTGGGAGGGCGCAGTCCTGACGGGGCAGCAGCTGGCCTCCCTTTTGGCATCCTGACCCTGGGCGTCCTGGCTTTGCCCTGCCATGCTGCCGGGCTGGGGAGGGAGGGAGGCAGCAACGAATTTCTCCTCCACCACCACCACCTCCTCTTCTTGTGGAGAATGGGTTTGCACAGGGAACCCCTACGCGGACAGAAGTCGGCTCAATAATAAAAGGAATATTTCCCCGCTCCCCCACTTTTTTGTTTTCCCCCCCCAAAAAAATTTTTTTTACAATAATAAAAATCCAAAGTAGGCACTTTGCACAGAGGCAGGCACGCGCGCGTGCAACTTTCAAGGCGAAAAGGTGCCGCGCGCCACAGGCTTCATGGCGAGGTTTTTTTCCTGGACGACCCCCACAGCGGCCATCCCAGCCAAGCGCGGAAGGGAACCCCCCCCCTCGAAGCAGCAGCAAAGGAGGGGGACGAGGACGAGGGCAAGCAGCTCCACACGCCGGCTCTGGTGTCGGAGAGCGTGGCGGCGGCGGCGCCTGCCACCCTTCCCAGGTGCTCCGTCCGGGCTCTTCCCTCGACGACGACGGCGCCGGAGACGGACTTGTTGCTTCTCTCGCTCTTTTCCTCGGCGCGCTTGAAGGCAGCCCCGGGCGGCGGGGGGTCACTTGAGGAGCCAAGCGTGTGAGGGATTCCGGCAGCGGTGGCGGCGGCAGCTCCTCTCCACCTTCCCCGGAGTGGGCTCGCCAGCCCCTGCCTGCGTAGGCGCCTTCGGTAGCGGCTGTCAGGAACAGTAGCCGCGGCGACTCCTCAGACTCCCGCTCAGGACTGTACACAGCGCACGCCGCCTTCCAGCGCTTGCCAGAACCTCGGGAAGCTCATTTGCATAATTTATTCACCTAGACGGGGGGGCGGGCACCCAGCGCGCCCGGAGCCCGGGAAGTCTGGGGATTCGTTCATTTGAATAATATATGCAAAGCCTCAGGCCGTCGTCTCGCCTCGACCAACCCGCGGCTGCGTAATAGTTTCTGCTCTTGCCTGGACTCCGCGGGATCGGGCCCCTTATTTCTTCTGGCGGGTGCGTGTGGAAGGAGGAGGCGCGACAGCCGAGAGAGAGAGAGAGAGAGAGTAACTAATAGAAGGGAGAGAGTATCCGGTCCTTCACTGGTTACAAGGCAGGACTGGGGGGGGGATGTACGTAGGTGAAATAGTCTGATCCTCTTCTTGCTTTCACAGAAATAAGCGTGCTCTTCGTTTACTCCCTGCTTGCTAAATGCTTTGCAGTTTGCGTCTCGTTGAAATTACTTTTAAGTAGGTATTTGTAAGATTGCACTGCTATTTGGAAAGAGATTTCATTAACCCCCCCCCCAACGCTCTATAGCTCTTATTTTATCTTATTTACAGTATTTGGTGTTTTGTTTTGTTTCTTTGGATTTTGTTCAATACGCCTTATTTTAGAAGTAGAGTTGGGTGTGGCGGGTACTTGGATGGGAGACATTTGTTACAAAGTTGCACCTGAGCTATGGGCACCCTTAGGGTTTCCAAGTACTGTACTGTGAAATGTTTAAGGAGTGGTTTTACTAGTGCCACACAATCCCATTGAGTTTTGGTGGCCCAGCTGGGATTGCAGCCCAAATCCTCTGCCTACTACTCTATCAGTTTTGTCCAAAACACCCCACTGGTTCTCCTGGGAGACTACCAAGAAATGCTAAGGAATCTTCAGATAGGGTCATGGAAAAATCCTGCCTGAAATATGGGAGAATCTTTGCCAATTGAAGTAGAACAGTGCTTCCCAACCATGGGCCCCCCTGATGTTCTTGGACTACAACTTCCAGAAATCTTTGCCAGCCCAGTTCATAGTGAAGGCTTCTGGGAGTTTCAGTTCAAGAATTTCAGGGACCCATATTTGGGAATCATTGAAGTAAATGGTACTGGTCTTGACAGACCAGTGATCTGATTCATTGACAAGTGGCTTCTTCTTAGCTGGTGTGCCCCTGATCTCACTGGGCTATGCTTGCTTGACTGGGTATGTATTGAGGATATGAAGCCTCTTTAATAACATACTGACAAGTACAGCAACTTGCTTTTCATTTAACTATGTTGGACACCATTGCTATACTCAGGCCAACCCAGGTCAAAATGTTTGGATGCAGGTTAGCAGTGTGCTTTTTACTTTTTTCATCCTAGGCATGTGTATGCTAAATAAGGCCAAATTCCAACTTTATTCGCTCCACCTTCTTCCAAAAAGCCAATTGTAGTTCTGGGTCTACTGCTGCCCCTCCACTCTCTTTTCTCAGCCATGTGAGATTGGTTAGGCAGACATATGGTGACGGGCTTCAGATCTTGAAATAAGTTTCACAGCTGATTTGAACTCCAGATTTCTTCAGCCCTTCACTAAACACTTCCATGACAAGTGAAAAGTAGTCCAAAGTTATTTCAGAAAAATGAGATTGATTTTTTAATCTGTCCTTGTTTGCATCCCAATGCTTCAGTGTTCTTTCTTCATATTTTTATTTGAAACAGAACGAGTTTTTTAATAGCTGAAATGAAGAGGCAATGGGTAAGAGCAAACAGAAAAATTCCAAATATGGAAAAATCTTAATCACGACATTAGAACTTTTATAGAGGAGAAACTGTAGAGGGAAGTTTTGCATTTCTTTACCTAAGCCAGTTGTTAAAGAGAGGTTTATTTTATCATCCAAATTATAACCAGCCGCAACTGGCTGGTAGAAATGCCATGATATAATTTCTGAAGCTAAAGCTATGTTAGTTTGTTGAAGCAAAAACTGAGAGAGCTCTGTGGCTCCCTAAAGAGCATAATACCGCAGTTAGAGTGTTAAACTGACTCTTTGCAGAATTCTGTTTCAGTTTTCACTTAGAGCCTGCCCACACTGGCATATAGATATATTAGCTCAGGTAAGAACATGTCCGCTTGCGTTTCTACTTAGATTAAGTCATCCTTCACCTTTAATTGCTGTCTTGCACCTTTCTGTCCTAGTGGTAGGGAATGTATTCTTTTTGGCATGCTCTGTGTAGCCATGAGATAGCACCCTCCAGCAGCCTAAGTATCATGGCTGCACAAATTGAGCAATGGTATGGGGAGAAGAAGAGAAGGGATGCAGAGGGGGGGGGAGAGAGAAAACAGAATGGAAGGGAGAGAAGAGTGACATAAAAAATAACTGATAGCGGATTGGACAACTAAGGGGTTGTTTGCTGTTAGGACAGGAGGAGTGTGCCAAATAGGACATCACTCCTCCCTGGCTCCTCAACAGACCTTTTGTAGTTCAATCCACCCCACACTCAAAACAGTCAGTCTGGACAGGTTCGTAGTCATTAAATGCACTAGGTGATCTTGGGCTGGTCACTCTCTCCTACCCTGAACCCCTGGTTGTTGTAGGAATAAAAGTGGGGAGGAGATCCATCTACACAGGAGAAAAAACAGGTTGTAAATGTAATAAATAAATAACACGTTTCTTAAGCTTTCAGGGACTAATTGGCTTTAGTCCAGAAAAGCTTGTGCTATAATAAATTTGCTAGTCTTCAGGGTACCAAAGGAACCTTTGCAGTAAGGTCAGTAAAAATAAATGTTTATATCAACTGTACTGAATTACAGTAATGGCCAAAAATATTGGCACCATTGCAATTCTGTCAAAAAAAAAAAAACAGTGCCATGATGTCCTTTACCAAAAAGCTCTACTTTTGTCTCATCTGTCCACAGTATGTTCTCCCAGAAGAATTGTGGTTTTGTCACATAAGTTTTGGCATACTCCAGTTTTGCTTTTTTATGCCTTTGTGTCAGCAGTGGTGTCCTCCTGGGTCTCCTTCCATAGCGTCCCTTTTCATTCAAATGCGAGCTGACACCATTGTACCCTGTGTCTGCAGATCAGCTTGAATTTGTTGGGAAGTTAATATGGGTTCTGTATCCACCATTCGAACAACCCTTTGTTCTAAATTTTCAGGGATTTTGCTCTTCCGTCCATGTCCAGGGAGGTTAGCTACAGTGCCATGGGCGGTAAACCTCTTGATGATATTGTGCACAGTGGACACAGGAACATGAAGATCTCTGGAGATGGACTTGTAACCTTGAGATTGTCAATGCTTTTCCACAATTTTTTGTCTCAAATCCACAGACAACTCTTTACACTTCATTCTTTTCTCCATTCTCAGTGTCACCCACAACACAAAGGTTGTGTCAACTTTTCTCCATCTTAACTGGTTGCAGGAGTGATTACTGTATTGCCCACACCTCTTACTTGTGGCAGGTGTGGCTAAATACAAATTAAAGGAGCATCACATGTTTGACAAGAAATTATTTCTTACAATTTAGACAGGGTGCCAGTAATTTTGGCCAGTGCATTTTTGGGTTTCTGTGTAGGATTTGAGTTTTCTTCTCTGTTTTGTGTGTGTGTGTGTGTTGTTCCAACGCAAACCAAAGAAATGAACATGTGAATACCAAAACATTTGCAACTGCAACAGTTTTCTGAGAGAAGGGTTGCATTTTTGACAGAATTGCCAGGGTGCCAATATTTTTGGCCATTCCTGCTGTGACTTGTAATGCAAGAAAAAGGAGCAAAGAGTACAAATTATGTTACTTACAACTTAGTCTCATAAAATCACAGTGCCAAAAGAAAAGAGAAATGTCAAGGGTTAAATACTGATCAGTTACGATAAACTATGGCAGCTGTGTTGGCTTCACTGTTCAAGCTAATCTATCTGGCTTCAACCAGTTCATGAACTCATTTGATGTCAATGCAGTATTCCCAGCACACCTTATAAATATGGAATTTACAAACATCAACATAGCCATGATCTCCAGATAGATACAGAATAGAGTTGTGAGCACATAAAATGTCAGATATGCTGATACTTACATTTAATATTGATAAAATGAAGTTAATAAAGGATAATAAAGACAGATTTATAACATGTCGGAGCTTCTGTTCTCCCAATTAAAACACTTTCTTTAGCAGTTAGTTATAGTACAGCACCCCTCCTCCCAATCTATGGGATCCGTATCAACTGCTTCATTTATCTGCTGCCTGAAAAGACTAAAGAAGAAAACCTCAGATAGTATAAATACGTATTTCTGTGGAGTGTTTGCCAGAACTAGACATTAGAAGGATCCAGGGACCCTGCAATGTATAGAGTTCAATACTTCTGCATTTGTTTGTTTTTCGGCATCTGCAGAGTGGCTTGGAAACAATCCCCCATGGATATTATGGTCCTACTGTACTTACATCACAAGTCTG